CCACGACTCTACGCTGACAGACCCATATGGTTTAAAAATTATTATTATTATTATTATTAAAAATAATGATGTGGTTGATAACGACACTGCGTAGAGTTGAACACCCTCGCGCTGTGAGAAAGGTATTTGTGTCCTCACAACTTAGGTCAGTAGCCTGCAGGAACTCAGCAAGTCTCCTTCCCTGGCCCCGTCTCACGGACTGATTTTGTCGCAGTTACTGTAATAATTTCTGGCGAAAAGTGCAAAAAGAAATTGCACAACTTATTTTTTTTTTTTTGAGGGAGAGGAGGAGGATAATTGTTTTGGTGGTTCTTAGCAAAGATCGTCGCCCTTTTTTCCTCCACCCTCTGCTCTACCTAAACTAGTAGTGTCACTTATTACCATTCACTTTCCTACCTCTTCCCCTTCCATGCCAAACTTATGCTCACGAAATCTAAATCGTAGATTTGTTCACGTCAAGGCTTGGCTCAGTAATTTTCCTGCATTTAGTTCAGCTGAAAGTCATTTATAAAATTATATTCCACACGTTACAACAGTCCTTCCATTTACAGTCAGGTTTACCACAAATTATGTGCTAAAACCTGTGTTGGACTGACATTATTATGTTACAACACAGGGTGATCACCTGTAGCGCAGAGAAGACATTTATGGGAAACCAGCTCATGACGTCAGGCAGTCGCCGCCACAATATTGGATCCTGTGCGTCACGAAGATTTTTTTTTTCCCTCCACACGGTGAGGGCCTGGGTTCGATTCCCAGCCAGAGTAGAAACATTGGACGTGTTTCTTTCCACCTGTTGTCTATGTTCCCCATCAGTAAAATGGGTACCTGGGTGTTAGTCGACTGGTGTGGGTCGCATCCCGGGACACTGACCTAAGGAGGCCTGGTCACAGACCGGGCCGCGGGGGCGTTGACCCCCGGAACTCTCTCCAGGTAAACTCCAGGTACCAGCGTCACTAGGCTACGGCACAGTGATTGATCAGATGTCATTACACCAATACTCGCCCATTCTTCAATATTTTTTTTAATCCGTTCATTATAGCCTTGTTCCTAATGAAATAGGCATGGCATGAAGGCACACATGGTGGTACTTAATAATATTAAAAAACTCAGGCCTTAAACATCGCTCTTGCATTTCAACAATAAATGCTAATTATTATTGATATTAATTTTATTATTACTAATAACTAAAAATTTTTTTGTTCAGTTTGTATACCGAACCTTCAGGGCGCGCATAACGGATATAAAACACCTCAATTATTGGGAGCGCTTGAAGTTCCTGAACCTGTACTCCCTGGAACGCAGGCGGGAGAGATACATGATTATATATACCTGGAAAATCCTAGAGGGACTAGTACGGAACTTGCACACGAAAATCACTACGAAAGCAAAAGACTCGGCAGTCGATGCAACATCCCCCCAATGAAAAGCAGGAGTGTCACTAGCACGTTAAGAGAGAACACAATAAGTGGCAGGGGCCCAAGACTGCTCAACTGCCTCCCAGCATACATAAGGGGGATTACCAATAGACCCCTGTCTGTCTTCAAGCAGGCACTGGACAAGCACCTAAAGTCGGTTCCTGACCAGCCGGGCTGTGGCTCGTACGTTGGATTGCGTGCAGCCAGCAGTAACAGCCTGGTTGATCAGGCCCTGATCCACCATGAGGCCTGGTCACAGACCGGGCCGCGGGGGCGTTGACCCCCGGAACACTCTCCAAGTAAACTCCAGGTAAACATAACATTTTGATTGAGCTTTGTCGCGTGTAATTCTTAAAACTTCACATATCAACACACACACAACAAACAGAAGCAGCTAGGTGACGAAACACTATATGAAGGAAGATCCAGAGGAGATATGTTCACTACGTTGAAGATGTTCATTGGCATTAACAGAGTGGAGCAGTAAGAAAAGGCTACTTGTGATGATGGGGACGGGGAAGGGGATTAAAAAGGAAACAACAGATGCAAGCTACGTATCTAGATGTATCATACTAACCAAAGAAAGGAAGAAAGCTGCGGTGTAAGGGTAACAGTGGGGTGAAGCAGGCCAAAGTATGAAGTAGGGGAGTGACACCACACTCAGCTTTAAAAGAAGGTATGATAGATAGTTGGGTGCAATGATACACCAGAGCGGCTCATCAATATTGCAGATGAGTGACACTGGCAAGTAGCGTCACTGATACAAACTTGTTAGTAAAATTTAAAATATTTTAAATATACATGCGCAAATAAAACTGAGTGTATGTCCTGCTTCTCTTGATCAATCGACTTATTATAATTATCTTACGTTCTTTGCTTGGTCTATTAGAAGTTGTACCTATTTATGCTCAACTGTTCGTAGGACACCAAGGTGTTGCCCATGTGTCTAATGTACCTATCGGTATAGTATACCATTTACACTCAAGAGGCCACTTCATTAGGTACACCTTTCTGTTATTGGGTAGCCCCTTCCCTTTGCCCCCCAAACAGCCTGAATTCTTCATGGTATGGATTCAACTAGGTCTGTGTTGACGTGAGTAGCATCATGCAGTTGCTGCAGATTTGTCGGCTGCACATTCATTATGCGAATCTCCCATCCACCACATCCCAACGGTTTACAACAAATTATGACCCTACCATCTGAGTGCCACGGCAGAGAAATCGCGATTCATTTGATCAAGTCACGTTTCTCCAATTTTCAGATGTCCAGCTTTTGTGAGTCTGTGCCCAGTTTCTTGTTCCTAGCTGACAGGAGTGGAACCCATCCACTTTAGGGTTTGATATGTTGTGTGTTCAGAGATGCTATCTTGAATACCACTGTTGTAACACAAGGTTATTTGAGTTACAATCGCCTTCCTGTCAGCTTGAACCAGTCTGGGTATTCTGTCAGTAGTGGCCTGGTGGCTAACGCTCTCGCTTCACACGGCGAGGGCCTGGGTTCGATTCCCAGCCAGAGTAGAAACATTGGACGTGTTTCTTTCCACCTGTTGTCTATGTTCCCCATCAGTAAAATTAGTATCTGGGTGTTAGTCGACTGGTGTGGGTCGCATCCTGGGACACTGACCTAATGTGCCCGAAATGCTCAGCATAACAAGGGACTTTCTATACAGTAGTGTGTCATTGATGTCAGCTAGGCCTGTATACCTTGTACATGTAATAAATAAAAGATATTATTATTATAAGGGTCCCTTCTTTCTGTGACGTCACGAGACCCACACATGTGAGCCGTCAGCTACAGGCCTCCCTCTCACTTCAACGCTAGGCATATCCCCTCAAAACTCTTAATTATACGCCTCCAAGACATCCAAGTGTGTATTTCTTACTCCAGTATCTCCTGACGAACCCCCAAGACAATTCTCCTTTGACCTTAATCATTATCAGAGTGTTTTTCCCCCCACATAACTGCTGTTCACTAAATGTTTTGTGCTTTTCACACCAGTCTCTGTAAAGTCTGTCGATGGTTATGCATGAAAATTACATTAAAAAAGCATTTTATGAGGTATTCAAACCATCCCGTCTGGCACCAGCAATGATTCCAGGGCCAAAGTCACTTAGATCACATTTCTTCCCCAGTCTGAAATTCGGTCTGAACAGTAACTGAACCTCTTAACCATGTCTGCACGCTGTTAGTCATAGAGGTGCTGCCACGTGATAATAAAGTGGACACTGAGTGTATGTTACTTTGGATATTCCTTTGACGAATTCCGAGATTCATTCTACTCGTTTGGTGCTTGCCTGATCAACCAGGATGTTGCTGCTGGTAGCCTACTGCCCCACATATCCATCACAGCCTGGTTGATCTGGCACCTGGTGAAGATACTTGTCCAGTGTCCTCTTGAAGACTTGTCACCTGTCCCAGCAGTGTTTTGATATCCTTACTTAGGTGTATCAAACTTGTACATGAAAAATTTACTTTAGTCTACTTGCTGCCCTCGAGGGAGGTACCTTGATACCAATGAATGGTTCTTGATCAAAGAAAGTAGACCTGACCTTCCCTTGGAGCGAACCTGATTGCCTTATATTCTCCAGGCTCTGTATGACCCTCTATGGGTTTAGCGTTTTTCCCTAATAAATAATTCTTCTTGGTTACTCCAACCAGTGATTACCGACTTCTTTTCTATATCTAAACATTCATTTGAAATCCCTGTTTTTTAGCTCTGTCCTTTGTTAAAAGTTTTAAAACACTGTAGAGCCTTGATGATGCCCTTCCTTTCATTGATGTACTTAGTGAGGTCACTACTCAGTCTTCGCCTTCCTTCCACTGACGCACTTTTGAAGATATTCAAACTTATTTTTTTTTTATTAACTAACAGTTACAATAAACAGGATTGTACTCGTGGAGTTTCGTCTTTAATGCTTGTGTAGCTACAGGAACCAAGCTATGTTGGTAGTGTTCAGTCTTCAGCGTAGCTGCAATTGTGGTGTTCAGTGTTTAGTAGTTGGTTTACATAATTTAAGTTTGCAGTTGTAGCACATGCCACCTCTCCTCTGCTACTGTGTGTGTGTGTGTCATTTCATGTTTTACCATAGTAAGTCTGGAGCACAAATTCTCAATAAGAGTCACAGACTGCTGTTAATTTTCCTCAGTTTTATTATTAGTTTTCGAATACATGGTAAAGAATAGGTGTTAATGTAAGAGTTTGAGTTGTAGATTCGCCGGATGTGTAGGCCTGGGGAGGGATGCGAGACGGACAGATTCGCTCCGTCAACAGTTCATGGGAAGAATTTGTCAGTTTTATCAAAGCTGGGCCGCCGAGTGATGAGAAGTGAATTTTAGAGCAGCAGCATCCCATCAAAAGATGAGTTTGAAGTGATCCAGCTTGCCGGCCGGTTGCAACAAATGTCTAGGGCTGTTTTGATAGATGTATTTAAAAAAAAATAATGTTTTACTTGACACCCTGTTTTTCTTTGGATCTAAAACACAGTGTAATGTTGAAGAGTTGCATTTTTGAAAATCGCGATTCTGTTTATTTTAGTGATTAATAAAAAGGTTTGTGGCATCCAAGCGGCGGCGTGGGTCGTCAATACGAGTGCGGGCCACTCGCGCGTCAGCCGCCGACACGCGAGGAGTGTCTGTGTTTGTGTCCAGCCCTTTGTGTTTTGTCTTCAGTGCCCGAGTCTTGTTATCCTTTGGCGCACCCACAAACGAGATAGTGATGGCCATCTGCCCCCTTGTGAGAGGCGGTGAGGAAAGTGATGCCCCAGTGGAGTGCGTGTAGTGTAGAGTACCGGGCAGTGCGGGTGTTTACACTGGTGGGGACGGCACCAGCTAGCTAACCGCCTCACACACCCCTCAACCACTGGCTGCCTGACAACCCACCCGCCCTCCCGCCCACACACACTGCATCCTACACTATACTCTCACCCTCCCTATACCTCACTGCAACGAGGAAAGTGTGTACGCAAACCGTGTAGTCATTGCGCTGCCAATCACGCAGTTAATTACCCTCATCCTCAGCCAATTGGAACACTGCGGTGTCCGAGGAAATCTGTTTTGTAGTTTACGGGAAAGACGAGAGTGCATAGAGGCCTTTTTTAAGTGGCTATGTTAATTGTGAGGATTTGGGTGTGTTCAAAGTTATTTTAATGGAGAGAAGTCTGGGGTGAATGTCATCCGCCCAGCAAAGTGAGGACCACAGACGTTAAGACTTGTCACCGGCTACTCGAGACTCGTGAAGGTCTTCCTGCAGTGTACACAGCCAACAACGCCTCAAATCTTCTAGTCACAATTGAAGGTGAATATTCTAACCACTGTCAGTTTTCAGTGTTACGTTGTGATAGCGTAACTTTTTCATATATGCAATATATTGAATATTTTTTTGTGTTCAGCACACAATTGTAAAATATTGTGTTTATATTAGTGTGGTCAAATTCATCATCCAGTTAAGGTGGTTAGTCATTGTGATGTTAGCCGGTATTGACTCGTTCACAGATGTGTTAATGGTGTTCCAATGTGACATCACGCAGAGCATGGAACTTCCTGCCCATTCAGATACCTCTCCGCAAACCTAATTTCGGTTGGACTTGGCCAGTCATACCGCAACTTTGTCAGAACAGTTTAGAGGCAGGGAAAACCTCATTCCCATAGGATACATATTAAGGTTTCCTTGTGATACGCAAAGTCTTCCTTTTTAGTCACTAAATTTGATGACCATTATTATGATACTCACGGAGAAACGATGTAACAGCATAGAAATATAGACTTGGTTATAAAACATTATTAAACAAAATGAACATTTAACTTAAGATTCTTTAACCTACGTATCTTCATTTTACTACAGTAACTTTCTTAAAGGGGCTAGCTTTTTTACAAAACTATGAAGGATTTGTTGCACCTAGCTAAATAACATAAAGTTTTAAAAGGTAATACTTAGCAGTGATACCTGGCTATGGTAACAGATGCAGATGAAGCCGATATTGCCATGGAGTAACAATGTGAGCTGACATGTACTGTCTTTATGGTTGTATTTTCAGTGAAGACGAGTGACACTGGCAAGTATACTACACTCGACGCTTGGTACAAGCTATAAATCTAGTATACTTTTAGCCTAATTGATTATTTTTCTACTCTTGTGGGCAACCAAACTTCAGGGTGTGTACTGTTGGTTAAGACGGCTTACCACAAAGTGATGTGTTGGGTGCCTCCCCGCTGCATTGATTTCTCAAGATCCATACCACCTGCTTAGGTAAAAAATAAATAGTTCCTCATAATCACTGCACATTATTGGAAGCCAAGTGTTGTCCTTGGGAGGCATATTACAGGAAGTTAGAGGTCGCTTCTACTACTACTAAAGATGTTCGTGGAAGATTTGTTTTGGGTTGAAGACGACTCAAGGTACAGATAAAAAAAAAAAAAATTATGTAAGGTTCGGAGGCCAGAGATTTTTTCATTTGGAATATATGAAAAGGAAATCAGTGAACGTTGGATTGAACACTTTAACTTACCGTGATGTAACTCGGTGCATTATAAAGATTACCTACTACGACTAACGATAAGGACTTAAAACCAACCATAGTGACTGAAAATTCACCCTTCACCATAGAAGACAGTGTCTTAAGACGCATGCATTCAAGTAAAAAAAAAAAAAAAAAAAAAAAGATAATGGAATCATACAGATGTACTGTAATCTAACTGTATAAATATTTCGCCCACTATGTAGGGGTAAGATCTGCCAGAAAGAAATCTTACTAACACTGTGGACTCTCAGAAATACCTGGTTGTTTCTGGAAATCCTCCAAATGCCCTAAAGTAATCTTTCAGACTTTGTACATTATCTGGACTTGCAGTGTGTATTGCCCAGTGAGTTAGTGCTTAATGCATTAGGCTCACAACCCAGAGTTCTTGATTATGGAGCTGAGGAAGATGTACGGACAAATCCACTCGCACTTTTTGCCAGTGTTCATTCTGTGGGATTTGGGTCTTGAAATAAGTTGAGGTTGGATAACAGTTCTAAGTCTGGAAACTTCCGTAACGAGAGAGAGAGAGTAGTAGTAGTAGTATTGAGGTAAAGGGGGAAGAGGTAGCGGAAACGTGAAGATAGTGGCAACCTACTGACAGGTGAGAAAGGCAAGATATTCCCACGAGATGAGTTTTCCTGATAACACGTTCTGGGGCTCATGGATCGTTTTCTTCGAAAGTCTGCCGATTTAGAGGTATAAGCAAAAGTATTTTTACTAGATGAAAGCTACCTTTACAAGTCTTGCATATTTTTAGTCAAAGTTTAACACAATGGCATTACATGCTCAACTTTAAGTGTAGTAATTTACAGACAGCAATAAAAAGATTTGGAGTTTGTAGGGTAAAATTAAAGCATTCTTGAGTATGGGCTTCAGTATCAGCGCTGTAAGGTATACATAGGGTATATATCAGTGCACACCACGCAGAAACAAGCGGAGGTTTATACAGAGAAAGATCGCAGTCAGCAGGATTCGAAACTCGTGTGGTGAGTGGTATAGCTCCCCAAGTGACGCTTTAAACTGCTCACCCACAGATGTTGAGTGGACTAAAGCGTCACTTGGAAAGCAATATCATTCCCCACACGTGGTTTCGAATCCTGCTGACTGTGACCTTTCTCTGTATAGAGTATATACGTTCACTGAAAAATCTGAAATGTGTGGATTATTTAGTTACTGTATCATTTGTATTTTGTTATAAGAGTAAGATATGTCAGACAGCAGTTAATCACTGATAGGACAGTTGATCCCTCTATAATGAGGCAGGTGAGGCAACTACCTAGCACCTGCCTCCTCACTTCTTGATAATGAGGAAGGTATGGCAGCTACCCATGACCTGCTACCTCACTTCTCGATAATGAGGCAGCTACCCAGCACCTGCTGCCTCACTTCTTGATAATGAGACAGCTACCCAGCACTTGCTGCCCCCCTCCTTGATAATGAGGCAGTTACCTGACACCTGCTGCCTCCTTTATAATGAGGCATCTACCCAGCACCTGTTGCCTCCTTGATAATGAAGGAGCAACCCAGCACCTGCTGCCTCCTTGATAATGAAGCAGCTACCCAGCACCTGCTGCCTCACTCCTTGATAATGAGGAAGCTACCCAACACCTGCTGCCTCTCGTTGATAATGAAATAGGTACCCATCACCTGCTGCCTCACTCCTTGGTAATAAGGCAGCTACCCAACGCCTGCTGCCTCATCCACTTATCATGCAAACTTGCCACGGAAGTCTCCATGGATGCACGATGAAGGCTTTAACTTAGAAGAATTAGATACATGTGCAGCACCAGAGTATCTTATTTAAAGACTCTAAAGCTTTTTTTCAATTCAGTATAGAGATGATATACGAAGACAGTAGAGGATGAGGTAGTCGGTCCCGCAGGTTGTAGGCTGAGAGACTGATTATCTCATCTTCCACAGTCTACCGGGAGGTTATTCTGGGGGTCAACGCCCCCGCAGCCCGGTCCACGACCAGGCCTCCCGGTGGATCAGGGCCTGAACAACCAGGCTGTTACTGCTGGCCGCACGCAGTCCTCTGTAATTTTGCAAGACTGAGGGATTGGTTTCCTTATCTGCTACTGTCTTCGTATATCATCTCTGTACTGAATTGAAAAAGTAGTTGATTAGCGACACGTCTTTAAATAAAAATATGCAGGTGTTGCACATATATTCATTTTGTCGGTCTTGTGTACCACATTATTGTAATAACTTGAGATGAATCTTGAAGCTTTAACTTATGATGCATCATAAAGGCACAGGCTTAGGATGCGCCATAAAGGCACTAAGGTGTAGTGCAAGTAATAATTTACTCACTGGCAAGTAAGTCAGAGGAAGGTTTCTGGGGAGTGGCCAAAAGGTCCAGTCTGCTGGTTGTAATACAAGACTCGCGTCAGGAGAAATTGAAGGACCTAGAAAGGTTTAGTGACGCTCTGGGAAGTGAAGATCGGCCAGACACGAGAAAAGAGCGTGAGAAAGGGATGGTTTAGGTCACCCGTGGTCACTAAGGTAACAGTAGTGAGGGAATCAGAGGGTCACAGTACTCCAGGTCACACCAGTTAGTGATCCAGAGCTTACCGAACACGATCTGAACACCGAGAACTGTATATATCAGTGTATATACTGACAGTTATCTTTAAGACTATAGGTTACCTGTACGCTAATATCAAGAATACTTTAATCCCTAAAATAGCATTTAAAATATAAATATGCATATATTCATAGCAAGTGTTAAACCCATAGGAAACAAAGCTTTGGGAAATAGGAAACAAATCAGGTTTGATCAAAAAAAGGAAGAATAGGTTTAATTATTTTCATGAACTCTTCATCAGCAAGGTATACCTACCTTAAAGGCACTTAATGACTCGTGCAGTCGACATAGCATAAACTTTACAATAGCAGTGAGAGTGGAGAGAGGAGACAGTCGTTATAACCAACTTGTAGCAAAATTCGTTGTAGTGTGATGAAACTGAGGTTACCCAGCCCGAGGTTACCCAGCCCGAGGTTACCCAGCCCGAGGTTACCCAGCCCGAGGTTACACTGCCCGAGGTTACCCAGCCCGAGGTTACCCAGCCCGAGGTTACCCAGCCCGAGGTTACCCAGCCCGAGGTTACCCAGCCCGAGGTTACCCAGCCCGAGGTTACCCAGCCCGAGGTTACCCAGCCCGAGGTTACACTGCCCGAGGTTACCCAGCCCGAGGTTACCCAGCCCGAGGTTACCCAGCCCGAGGTTACACTGCCCGAGGTTACCCAGCCCGAGGTTACACAGCCCGAGGTTACCCAGCCCGAGGTTACACTGCCCGAGGTTTAACCCAGCCCGAGGTTACCCAGCCCGAGGTTACCCTGCCCGAGGTTACCCAGCCCGAGGTTACACTGCCCGAGGTTACCCAGCCCGAGGTTACCCAGCCCGAGGTTACCCAGCCCGAGGTTACCCAGCCCGAGGTTACACTGCCCGAGGTTACCCAGCCCGAGGTTACCCAGCCCGAGGTTACACTGCCCGAGGTTACCCAGCCCGAGGTTACCGCCCGAGGTTACCCAGCCCGAGGTTACACTGCCCGAGGTTACCACGCCCGAGGTTACCACGCCCGAGGTTACCCAGCCCGAGGTTACCAGCCCGAGGTTACACTGCCCGAGGTTACCCAGCCCGAGGTTACCCAGCCCGAGGTTACCCACGCCCGAGGTTACCCGCCCGAGGTTTACACTGCCCGAGGTTACACAGCCCGAGGTTACCCAGCCCGAGGTTACACTGCCCGAGGTTACCAGCCCGAGGTTACCCAGCCCGA